CTGGGTGGGCTCTAGGGGTCCCTTCCCACCCAAACCATTCTATGATTCTATGATCTTTCCCTGGTTTCAGGCAGGGCTGTTTGGGACAATTTTGCCTGTAAATGTTGTCACCTCACTACTCACTCCCTGGTCACGTTTTGTAACGATGTGTTGAACAACAGAGCGCCCGGTCCAGATCCGTGAGGGTTCCCATCTGTTACCCTCTTGCCTTGGGGAATGGACGTGAAGCTGTTTATTCCTACCCTTTGTTACTCAAAAATTTTTAACTGGTTATCTACAAGAGAGGCTTCCTTCCCTATCACACAAAAACTTGGTCTCTCAGAATTTGACAGGGAATCTTGGTGAATCAATGTGAACCTGTAGGTGAAAAATCCCAATTAAACATATTTTGTGATGGTTTACCCTGTTTTACATAAGTAGAACTAAGATATGTGGGGTTTTTTTTTCACTCTTTCTCTTTGTAGTGTTCCCAATATTGCTATGTATGCAATAAGAGCAACACACCCAATTTTTTAATTAATTGTGCAATGTTTTTAAAACAGGGGGGGGGAAAAACACAATGGAAAAAAAACCGCCATACATAAAAACCCCACGTCCACAGGATGACCATTACTCACAGCTTTAATTTCAGTTAATATTAAATGTTAGTTTGAGTCCAACAACGCTGAGCAGTCGAATAATTTTGGCTTGGGTTTACCCACCCACTGCTCTGCCTGGCATTTCACTTTGGCCTCTGTCCCTCGACCTCAGGAGATTATTAATTTCTGAATACACGAGCTTGGGATAAACTGCTTAACTGACATTTTGAATCTATTAATATAATTCATTTTGTTTTGATAGGAAATGAATCAGAGCCAAGCCACTGATACCGAATTAACCAAATAAACTGTAGGGTTTTTACCAGATTTTCCTACATCTGTTGCGGTTACAAAGGATGGACATGTCCTGTGAGCTGGGGAAATCCAGGTCTCAATCTTAAAGTTGCTAATTCTTGCAGTCTTTGGAACGTGGTGCTGTTAAAGACCTCAGCTCATGGGATCAAGAGGAAGAACTTGAGGAAGAACTGTGGGGAGGAGAGGAGAAAATGAAGCAAAGCGACCATGCTGTTGAAGAAAAGTATGAACGCTTCCTAAAAAGCATCCTCTCTGAGTTTGGATGCTGCCCTTTGGGTTTCCTGAGACGCAGAAGCTCGTCTTCCTGACGGCTGCAATTGCACTGACTTACGCAAGTCAACTGACCTGTCATTGCTCATCGCCCGCCTTCCTGAATCGAGCATCGACAGCTGAGACCAGCAACAGAAGAGCTAAAAACCCTCCCAGAATCAAGGCACAGGCACTCATCGTCATCCTATCTTGTCAGGGCCACCCGGTTGGGAAAACAAACTTCTCCCCCCATCTGTGGGGTGTTCCATCCTGCAGGACCTCCGAGCTTGTCACCGACAGTTAGGTTGGCCGTCGGCAGTGGGGAGCCTCTGCGGAGGGACATGGTGTCCATCTAAAATGGAGGCTACATCATCTTAAGATGATTGCTTTCAACCCCTCCTTCTCGCGCAACACCTGAACGCCTGCTGTGTTGGTGCACATACGGAGAGTACTTGCCTAAAATCCTGGCCTTAACAAAAGCCAACTGGATTTGGGAGAGTTTCCCTTATTTTTCCCCATTTTGACCTGAGTGGCAACACGGATATTAGTGAATTCAACAACACTAATGCCTTGAGGACACTGACAAAGTCTGGCCACATCCCCACTACTGAAGTCTCTGAGCTCCAGAAGAGTCGCTTTATCCCAGCTGCCTCCAGGAAATTGTCCACAGCCCATGCTGACTCCTCACCCATGCCTCGGAATTATTTGGAGGCGTGCAAGTTGACCCATGGCAAAATTTTGCCGAGGACTGTGCTAACAGCGTGAGTGAAGTTAATCGATTTGAAGTTAATCATGTCTCAACGGGACTTTTTGCTTGCCTCACACGCTGCGAGCGATTTAATTACCCTCGTGAAGCAAGGCTTGCAAAACCACTTCTCACAGGGTAGGAGGGCTTTCGTGGCGACCGTGCAAAATGGTCCATCTCCCCGCAGAGACTTCTGGTGAGCCGAGAGCCGCGTGAGGAAGCTGTGGCCAAGCATCTTCTCCTGCAAGCAGCCGACTGCTGGGATTCAGGGCACCTGCCTTGCTCATCTCTGTTTTGCAGAGCGTAATTTCTTCCAACGTATAGCGAAACCTTGAATTGGGCTGTTGGGAGGAGATGAAGTTCTTGCACGCCGCGGTGAGCAGGAGGTCGGTGGGCTGGAGCGTGTGCCTCTGCGCAGCCTCTGGTTGGGAGCAGATTACGTGCCCTTCCCAGGCTCTACGCTCACGACCAGCTGGAGGGGGAAAAGCCTCCCAGATTTACAAGCAGCTACGAACCCTCATCTGATCCAGAGCCACTGTGGTAAACGTTGTGTGGTCTGGGGAGAAGGGAAGTAGGTATCTGCGGAAAATAATATACGTGCTTATTGGTTTTAAGTTAAATAATCCCAGGTTTTTTTCTCTTCTTTTTTCCAGCGAGCCGGTTATTGCAACGTGCCTTTTCCAATCACTGCTGCGAAAACTGGTGGTCTGATCCTAACACCCTTTTAATGCAATTTTGCCAATTCTTCCATGTGGAAGTGTACTGGACACTGAGCAGGGACACTGGGAGGTGCTTGAAAAGATTATCCGTGAAGCCACGTACGGCGAAGCGAAAGGTGACGTCGGGAAAGCTGTCTGCGCTGCAGTTATTCGCAGCATCTCCCACGAGCAGGGGGACCCAGGAAAACTCCGCAGAGGCGGTGGGGTTTGTCACGTCAGCATCCACGGAGGAAGCTCTGACCTATGCGGCTCTCGGCCGCTGCTGTGTCGTTTCTAAGTTGCAAGGAAGATGGTGATACGCAGCTGTGATTCCTGGTTATGCAATTCAGCCGTTTGCAATTTTGCTTCCTTCCAAACGCCCTCTGGGCACTTTTCCACACTATAAACAAAACAGCCTGCAACATTTCACGCAAAAGGCAGAAACCGGCGCCCTGGACGCTCGCTCTGTGCTGCACTTCTGCTTTTTGTTTATCGGGAATGCTTTTCAGAGGAGCTCTCTCAGATGCAACGAACTGCAAGGAGTAAGCATGTTTTAAAAAGAAAGCGTGTGCTTTTTTTTGGGGGGGGGGTTGCATTTAAAAAAAGTGCGGCTCCTTGTCCATATATAGTGCAGTAAAGGGCTCCTCCCGCCTGTTTACGCTTCGTGGCGCGGCTGCGAGGAGTTTTCAACGGCAGCCTGGCTGCGCTCGGGATTTCCAGTTGTAATACCAAAAAGGAAACAGGAAAGAACGATGTAAACATCGGTAACGAAGCCCGTGCTCGCGCTGGGCTCCGAACAGCACCGCCGACACCCCCGGCCTGCTCCTCTTCTCCCCCTGCTTTTCGGAGGGGGCTGTGGAAGGAGGAGAGGCGGGCGCTGGCAGAGGCTTGGAGAGCCCTTGGCTGGGTTGCAAATCTCCCAATTGCCTCCACTGCCTCTCTTGCTTCCAGCTGTTGGCCCTCAGCCCCTACTTGATGCAACAAACTCTTAGGGAGGGAAAAAAACGGGGAAAAATGATCTTTTTTTTTTGCGTGATGCGTCCCTGTTAGCTGAAAAATCAATGTTGGGGTGCTTTTTTTTCAGGTGCCATGTGACTAAGGCCCACGGAGACACCCCACTCGCACGTTAAAAAAATTGCTTTCTTATTTGAGCAAGCAGGAAACTGTTCGGAAATGTGATACGAGTGCTCCCTGACAGGCTGAAAAAATGGCATTTGAAGGGCACTGGATGTGCTAGTTAAAAGCAAAACCCCCAAAGCCAGCACCTGCTCTGGCCAGGGGGCTCTTCTCTTGCAGGTCACCCACCGAGCCCCATCGGCAAAAGCTCTTTTGGGGAGCAATCGCCTTGAAAATCATCCAGGGACCCCCTTGGGCTCCCCCTTCTCTTTCCTTCCAGTTTTCTGTAACCATATAATTATTTTCTGATGTGATAACAGGACTGCACGTGGTTGTCCTTCATCCCCCAGGCGCCGCGTGTTGGCTATGCCCGCGCCCTGTGTGGGTGTGCCTGCACCGCCGCGGCACCTCCTCATTCCCCAAATTACAAGCAGACAAGATATTTAGTGTATTTTGCCCCAAATCCACTGTGTGTGACCCGGGGAACTCGCCCAGCCCAACGTCGGCAAGGCTCCTCGCTGCCACGCGCGCGGCAGCCAGCACTGGCTCCGCGCCACAAACCCAGGAGAGGGGAAGGGGGAAA